GCCCAACCTAATTTAATAATATATAATATAGCTCATTGCCCTTATTTTGTTTGATTTGTGCTCAAAGACCAACTAAATTTGATCAGTTTAAATCGATTCAGGATAATTTCAAATTGGTTTAACTTATTTAAGTATATTTAACTTAGATTGAACCCAATTTAACTCAAATTATACTAATCTATGATAATTCAAGACTGGTTAAATAAGGATTAGAGATCGATTTTGTTCTAGTTAAATCGAATCTAATTTGATCGATTGAACTAGGATTTAAATCGATTGAGAGTTAATTGATATTATTTGACATCAATGATGTTTAAAAGAAATATTTTGATATATTATTTTTTTCTCGATATAGATATGACCAATATAAGATAATATTATTTTCCTATCGAGGCGATCAACGCTTCCACCATTTATTATTGGAAGAAACATATTCTCCTATCGAGGCAGTGAACGCTTCCACCATTCATTTTTGGAAGAAACATATTCTTACTTTGACAGGTGAGGAATATAACTTCATCCAAATACAATATTAGTTTGTATAAACTATCCCTTTATCCGATATTAAGGGAGTGCTCCTTTCAATGTCCGATATAAATTAGTGAATGATTAATTTTTGGTCAAATATTTATTTTCGGAGGAGAAGACTCTTAGTAACATTAGATTGAATTCCAATGAAGAGCATATCTTCCTCTACCTCTAACTAAAATCAGTTAAATTTATTTTTGAATTATCATCATTATATTTTCTTAATAATGTTTAGAATTATTTTTATTTATGATTTGATAAATAAACTAAGTTATAATAAACATTTATAAGTTATGTATATTAATAAAATAATATTTATTATTTGATTCTAGATGTATTTTTGAAAAAAAATATTATGATATTAAATAAAATATGGCATCTTTTTATGATACGAACATGATTTAGAATCTATGGATGTTTGGATCGTGATTGATTTTGATAATTATATTTTATTTATTACAGGTGTAATGAAGCGAATGAAGCAAATTCAAAAAACTAGTGATCCTATAAGTAAGTTTCCAAATGATCCTACCGACCAACGCACTCGAATAAATCATGACTCGAAAGTTTCATACATTATGAATCAAAGGCAGCCTTCTCATCATTCAGCAGCTGTCAAATTTTCAAATGATGTTAATGGAGTGGGGGAGGACGAGACCACCGGCTGGAAGTGCTGGAAACATCCCTCCCAGCCCCGCGACGGCGTATGCCCCGACTGTTTACGTGACCGTCTCCTCCGCCTCTGCCCGGATTGCGCCAACGTCCGCCCCTGCCGCTGCTTCCCCTCCTCCTCCTCCTCGTCCTTCTCCTCCCTCTCCTCCACCGAGCCCGCCAGATCCAGAGGACGAGGAGGCGACGGCGCGGGGGTCGGGGCGGTGGGACCCGTGTCGCAACTCATCGAGAGCGAACCGGCCTTCCGGCGGTCCCGATCAGTCGCCTTCCAGTTTCTCAGGTCCAGATCCGTGGCCTCTTCCGTCAGCGACGTGGCGCCGCTGCCAAGGCCAGGAGGAGGCAAGCGGTCGGCGTTACTACGGGCATTCTCGAGGGTTCCGGCGAGGGAAGAACCGGCGGACGGGAAGCTGTGCAGATCGAGGTCGGTGGCGGCGGGATGCTCGCAAGACGCAGGCAGTGGGGAGTATGGGGGAAGGGGGAAAGGGTGGAGGTGGCACTTCCGGAACCCGATCAAGGCATTCCGGCACCGGAAATCGACGACGAAGGTGGTGCAGGAGCGGTCGCCGCTGTGGCGCGGGTGAGAAGAACGGACGATTTTTCGCCCCTTGTCGGTATCTTCGCTACTACTGTCGTAATTATTAAGCAACTAACAATCACTCCATAAATCTGAAATCTCCGAATTCCAACACACGTTGGGGAGATAAAATGAGTCTGGATTGCTTCGGAAAATACTTTTTATCATTCATTGTATATTTTGTTTGCTCGTTATCGTGCATCGAACGAGCTGTGCCCGTCTGATGCCGATCGGACAGTCAGCTTGTGAAGATAGACATGGGGACTCGGGGCAAGCGAAGAGACGGAGAAAGGGGGGATTGGCGCGTCGCACGTGCAGGGGTGGGTTCTGCTGATACACGTGATGATGTCGTCTCTTCTCTCTTGCACGCGTCCGTTGATTATTGACCGGGATGGCGTCGTAGCTGCGGTTGGGAGGTGTCTGATGACGATCGAAGGCTCACCCCTCTGCCCTTCTATAATTATAAGATTTGCGCTGGAAAGTGGGGGAAATTTTGCGAGGCGGTGCTGCTTTGGCACCGTCGGCGCGTGGTACACCCATTGGATCGGGCATGTCCATGGGTATAGTGTCACATACCGTGAGTCTTCAGACTCACGGCGTTGGTGCGGCTGCAACATCTTAGTCAAGAATATTTGTGCGAATTGTTGGGTGGTAAGTGCACGCTTTACAAAGCCAATCCAATCAATATTTGTGCGAATCACACACATCACACGGGTCAAATCAGTAGAATGCCCCATGCATGCATGATCATACTGGTGGTGATGAGACGAGTTTACAGGATGTTGCAACGGAGTTAGTTAGGATACCAAGGATTCGTTATTAAAATTTGATATTTGGAGCACGATTTCAATGTAAGACTTATTTTGTACGTACTCACAAACCACAGAATGCCAGGAATCTGAATCTCGGAACAGGAGAACAAAGGTCAGAAATCCGAACGACTCACAGTAGGATCCAATTTCCATCGAGAAGCTCCGGCGCCTCGGTCGGTGCCGGAGTAGGATTCGACGCCTCCAGTTGGTTGATCAGCTCAGGATCTCGGTCCTATCTTCAACCGACGATCTCAGCCCCAACTCCGTCGCATACAACGAGTCCACTAGGCACCGCTTCAACTCCTCAAGCTTATCATCGGACGGCACCGGGGTTCCGTTCCTTGACAGATATTCCGCTCCCCCCGGCCCTCACCCCATTCGTCTTCATCCTTGGGAGGATCCGCCTGCGATGACGCCTCGACTTCCGGCTCCGCTTTTTCTCCCCACTCGTTGGTGATGCTCGCCGCGTCTCCCGGTTAGTTGCCCCATTCGTCCTCGTCTATAGGGGGATCAGGTGCCGACGGCGGATCGGCCTCTGGCTCGGGCTTCTCCCCCCCCACTCATCGGAGATTCTCGGGTCACGGCCTTCGCCTGGGACGGAGGCGGCCGAGAAGGAAGATCTGCGGATTATTGAGGCGGCAGCGGAGGAGCGTGAGGGAAGGGCGAGGGTATTGGGCCGGAGGGAGAGAAGGCGGTGGGGTCCGATAGGGTTCGGAGAAGCAGAGGCGGAAGACGAGGATGGGAGGAAGGGAGGCGGGTGACCCATCTGTTTTGTTGTTGTGCGTGTGTTGCGGCGGGCAGAGCGTGAGGTGACAACAGCTGTGGGCGTACGGCAGGGCACCGAAAAGGATCTTCCCGTTTATTATTATTTATTATAAAACAAGATAAAAAAAACTCTGCGACTAATTACATGTTATTATTTATATTTAAGTATATTTAATATTTTTATTTTTAATAAAAAAAATTATATCCGTATTTTTATAATTATAAAGTAAACTATTTAATTCTATTTTTTTTTATATCATCGATTCTACCGATGAAAGATACAACAAATGTTTTCATATATAGGATAGGGATAAAAATTAATTTTACTAATAAAAAGGTCAAAATCAATAAATACTTTAATAAAATATTTTAAAAAAATTCGCTTCGACTCTACCGTCGCTACGTCTTGTTAGTCAGAGATGAAGTTATGGTATTTCCCATGGCGTTTAGAGAGGACGTCAAGTAGGGATCAATCATGTAGTAATAGTAGTGGAGTCAGAGGAAGTGGTTATTCATTTGCATATGAGAGAATTGGTTCTCTAGCATTGACACTATCTCGATAATAATGATTTTTCATAGGGCGTCAACATTGGGCAGAGGATTAGGTCGTCACCAGAGGATGCGATCCTCGATGGTTAAGAAGCTGAGAATTTATGTGAATAATATCTAGTGTAATTAAGAAAGGGAGTCAAGAAAGAGACATAGATGTTAGAGGTGAGTCACATTTCGCGGTTCTTGAAGTGGTACTATCGAAAATACCCCTCAAAGCTAACGATCTTGTAGGTGTGGTGGGCACAATAAAGAGGAGTGAGATCAAGGATCGAAGTTTCACCATCAATGGTGATCACAACAAAGTTATTGGAGTCAACGAAAAAGTATAGATGGTCGCAAAAGATAAGGATAGTGATAGATAGATGTTAGAGGTGAGTCAATCTCGATTTGTGTTGTCTGTTGGAGTCGGGGATGCGATTACTTGAAGTCCAGATATGTAGCCTGCCGGGGTCAACTTGTGTTGCCACCAAAAAATTGGATCAAAAATCAGATCTGGAATCCATCGTGTCATTGTCAACATTGGACAAAGGATTAGGTCGCGAGCCGTGCAGATGATGCGATCCTCAATGGTTAAGAAGCTGAAAAATTTATATGAAGAAGATCTAGTGTAATTAAGAAAGAGAGTCAAGAAAGAGACATAAATGTTAGAGATGAGTCAAAGTTTGTGGTTCTCAAAGTGATACTAAAGAAAATGCCCCTCGAAATTGATGATCGTGTAGATGTGATGGGCACAATAAAGAGGGGTAATCAAGGATCGAAGTTTTGCCATCAATAGTGATCACAACAAAGTTATCGGATTCATCGAGAAAATGGTCATGAAAGATAAGGATAGTGATAGATAGATATTAGAGATGAGTCAATCTCAGTTTGTGTTTAGAGGTGAGTCAATCTCGGTTTGTGTTGCCTATCGGAGTTGATGCGATTACTTGAAATCCAGATATGTAGCCTGCCGGAGTCGGCTTGTGTTGCCACCCAAAAATTGGATCAAAAATCAGATCTGGAATCCATCATGCCACTGTCGGTTCCGAACTTGCATGATGAAAACATGATGCGCATAATGGCAGTAAATAATCCAAAAAAAAAAAAGAAACGGTAGATCTTGCAAATTCTGAGTTGATTTATTCAGAAAATATGATCGTTCTCCATCCAGATTTTTCATGACAGAAAAGAAGATGAAGATGGTGACATCGTAGAGAAACAGACAGAAAAATGGTGTCACAGAAAGACAACCAAAATGCAACGGCAGCACTGCCCTTAGTCGTCTTCCTCCTTGAACCGCAGGTGCTTCCCCTGCGGCGCAGGGAGGCCCTTCAACACCAACACGCTCGGTGACACCGCCGCTCCACCCATCGCTTCCTCTTCTCCTTCCATCTCATCGTCGCTGTTGTAGATGAATCTCGTGTGCTTCCCTGTGAACTCGAGCAACCTTGGCTCGTCATCCAGCATCGACATCTTCTTCATACCTTCGCACAAGTCGCCCAGCAACTCTTCGTCGTTTGCTTCGCCCTCTTCCTCTTCTTCTTCTGCTGCTTCCGTTACTTTGGAATCGATGCCTTCTTCTTCTTCTTCTTCTTCTTCTTCTTCAAGCAGCTCGTGGTGGTCGCGGTCGGAGTTGGCACTCGCATGAACCTGAACGGACCAGATGGAGTTGTCATCATCGTCGGGAGACGCCTCCTGGCGACTGCTTTGGCTGCTGCATTGGAATGTCAGCGACGAAGAGATCGTCGAGATGTCTGACATGTCTGATTTCTCAGGCGAGTCGAACATCAGTGCCCGGTTGATCAGGCATTCTTGAGGGTGGGCTTCCTCTCGATTGAGTGCTGCCACAACCTGAACGAATTGGAGCCCAAACAACGTAAGTAAATTTACCCCAGAGCGTCGCCTCTCATGAAGAAATCGATGATGACAAGTGAAGACACGAACATGGACAGATCAGAAATCGTGAGTTCTATCGGCAAATATAGAATTGGTAAATGATTAACTGGGCAACATTAGAAATGATAGCACAAGGAACTCTAATCAAAGTGGGAATCCATAATCTTACAGGATTTCTTATAGTACCTTCGGATGGTCGTCTTCTACAGGCACAACACAGGGTGATGCAAACCCCGTCGAAGTATAGCCTTCTTTCGAGCAGTTCATGTTGGGGATTTGTGGCGTATTGGCTGGCGTCGGGGCGAGAAGATGAATCGGAGATCTTGAGAGTCCCAGGAGGGAAGGGAAGCGCTGCGGGGGTGGTGGTGGCGGATGTCCAAAAGGAAGCTTATTCACGAGTTCTGTGTCTTCCTCAACCTTCTGCAGCAGCGTCCGCACCTGGCCCCGGAGCACCTCCTCGCCCGACCCGGGGGTCCTCCTGGCTATGACCCGGCTCTTGACCGCCGACGAGGAGGGCGTCTTCTCGACCAGGAAGCACCCGGTCGCGAGCCCTACCACGGGCGAGTCATTGGTGATGTCGAGAAGCGCTGCGCGATCCCCTCCGTTTCTTGGTCTCGGGTGCCACTCCTCATGCTTGCTCTTCTCTGTGCGGTCTAGAATTTTCTAAGTAACAGGAACTACATATCCCCTTATTCGTTGATACATAGATAGAGAGAGGTGGAGTTTGCTCACGGGAGTTGGCGGCTGCGGCGGCGGCCTGAGATCTTGTGACCCTTCTCGTGGAGGATGGAGTTTCCATTGCCAAGAAGAAGAATAGCACACCACCTGACACAACAACGACTACCACAGGTTCCTCTTGCGGATCTTGCCGAGATGAGAGAGATATGAGTGCGTGGGGGTGTGTGGGGAAGTAGAAGGAGCAGGGCTTTTAAAGGATTCGAATTGGGAGGAATGCAACGGTAATATGACCGTTGTCGAACGAGGCCAGAAGAAGTAAACCCTTTCTTTATTTGGTACAAACTAGCCGTTGGAAGAAATGGCTGGGATGGGTTGGGCTGGGACATGGATCGTTGGCTGGATTCTTTCTTTTCTGGCCCAATAACGAATACTGCCTTTCTTTGTAGCGCCAACCAACCCCATGATTTTGACAAAGGATCAAACACCAACCCACTTTTGATTACAATGTTTCATCTAACTTTGCCACCTAACCCAAAGAATTAACACAATTCTATCTAAAGATCGTGTGGATATCGAAGGCATGTACTGCATATGAACAAGAAGATCAAATCTACTCCGGTGGTCGAACGTCCTCCACGGCGCTCGTCTTCAGGCTCCGCCGCTTCGAGCCGCGCACCTCCTTGGGCGGAATCTTGTTGTCTCCCCATTCCCCGAACCTGGTGCGCTCCGAGGAGACGTAGTCGCAGTCGGGGAAGGTGACGTTCCCATACCGATGCTGGTCGTAGCAGAAGGAGTAGATCATGTAACGCTCGCGGAACCGGCGCATGGCGGCCCGCTTCATGGGGGTGAGGATGGCGTAGTCGGCGGACATGAGCTCCTCGACGGCCTCCGCGCACCGGTCGGCGGAGTCCACCTGTTGGATGGGGTCGACGCGGCAGCCGACGAGGGCGAGATCGGAAAAGTGGGCGACGTATGGCTCGTACTTGTAGTCGATCTTGATCCTGCCGTAGGAGGTGGCCCAGGCGGAGCCGTCCCAGATGGTGGCGTACACCGACATGGGCTTCGCCGGGAACTCGCCACCCATGTCGTCGGTCCGGACAACTTCCCTGATGGGGATGTCGTCGATGTAGAATCTGCACGAAGCAGGGAGGAAGCGACGATCACTTCAATTGCATGCATGCCGATTGACTAAGCGTAGACGTAAGAGTTGCATGGTCAAACGCATTCATCCTCGCAAGAACCGAGAGCTCAAGAATGAAGCAGCCGAAAAGATATAGATTAACTTATAATTCGGATGTCATCAGATAACAGCGAGGACTGGAATCATCGCGAAGGAATATAGTGGTTTGATGGTCCGAATTGATCAACGTGTAGATGGATAAGAGCATGCACTCCATATATTATTCAAAGCTGAAATGCAATTATACAGGAGGGAGGCAGGGAAGTAAATTACATACATGATGGTGTCAGGGGTCCACAAGATGGAGTAGCGGTGCGCTTCCTGGGTGGGATCGAAGGGGACGAGGTAGCGCTCCTCCCGGCCTCGGGTGTTGCTCCCATTCCCAAACACATTGGTCTGGATCCTCCAGTCTTTCTCTCTTACGTTGCCCAAGAACTCGAAGTCCAGCTCATCATGCGTCCAGGGATGAATATCTCCATTCGAAGTCTGCAACATCAATCGGGAGCCACAGAGCTTACCAACACTCACCATGCAGGAGACCCATTCCAATTGCCAAACGTTCAAGCCATCACATTTGACTAGATGCAGCGCTTCATTACATTACATGAATAGGAAGAGTTTCGGAAGAGAAGCGTGCGATATGCTACGGTGATAAAAAACGACAGCAAGACAAAGCTGAAGCAAACAGAAGAATTCAATGCCGTTGACTCACATAGAAGGCGACGACGACGCCGGCGGTGTAATCCGATGGCAACTTAATGGACGCGCTGAAAAATCCGTGATCATACAGGTCCGAAGAGATAAAGCCCGAGCCTGGCTGACACATGTATGCATATGCAGATACGCTCAACGCAGAAAGACAAGCATGAAGGCCACAGCGAGGCGAGAGGGTGACGGGGCTGAGGGTTACCGGAGTAGCGGTTGAGGCTGAGACGGGCACTCCGGCCGTCGGCGGAGCGGATGAGGTTGTCGTTGCCGAAGAGATGGGAGAAGCCCTCGCTGAAGGTTAAGGATGGCACGTCGAAGCCCACCGCCGCAGTGGTGATACACAGGAGGAAGATGAACGCCGTCGGCATACTCCTCGGAGTTGCCGCCATGACGGTATATCTCCTCTAGTTTCCTACGATCCTTTTGTTCTCTTCTTCTCTCTCACCCCTTTTTGTGCTTCCTCTTCATCACTTATAAAGGAGGGAGACAAGGTTTTTATATGATCATTAGCTTTGATTGGATAGTTAAATTACTGAATGGAAGATGGGGACCAGATTCTTGGCCACCAAATATTTGTAATTGTCCAAATATTTTGCGTTTCTTCTCTCACTAAATGACCGCATTGCCAGTTAGCAAGCATACATCAGTTCAAGTCACCCAACGACTGCGTACAATCGACTCCAACGCTCTCCCTCGTAAGGACTACAGTGATTTTAATTTGGTTCAGTTCAAATCTGCATTAAGCCATCATCGAAGAAAGCTGAAGAACGAGATTGGGTTTGAATAGGCTAGTCTTCTCATGACGTGGTGGGACGCAGTTGGGTTGGTTGGACCTCTTCTTTATGCATCTAGAAAATGAATTCACCAGAAAGGTGTGGGAACTTTTGGTGCGACTTTGTTGGCTAGTCACAGTCTTTACTCGTGAGGAAAAAGACTTCGACCTACTCCATCGTGGTATATATTTATCAAAAAGTAATCCTCATATATTTATATACATATATATACGTATGCATGATCATCTTTTTGGGTCAACCATTTTATCACGCCAACTTGATCAATGATACGGACGAAGGTGTGAAAATTATTAAGGGACCTTGTCGATGAAGAAATAGAAGTTTGTTTCTCCTACTACGCCAACATAATGTCCTACCATCCGTTCAGTAGCTCATCGTTCTCATGGCTACGGCAACTTATTCTGTTCTATTCAGTCGTCATGAGATAACGCCAGAATATCTAATTTCATATGCTTGATGCAAATTAACTTTTCCTTTCGTGCTTGCCCCCATATATATAATATAAATTATTATTATTGTTTTCTTCGGAGATAAGCAGAAGCGTAAGCGGGCGACGAGGAAGCTGCATGCCGGGATGGTGACGCGCCACCGACCTGTGTCACCGGAGATTCCACGTCCCTCTCTTTCCTCAAATAAGAAGAGTTGACCAAAGTGGCATATGACACTTGTCTTGCACCGATAGGAATGGAGATCCACGTGGATGGAATCGACGTCGACACATCGACGTCCTACCTACGGAGACGGAGACTTTGTTATCGTAATTGTCATCATTATTATTATCGGAACTCAGAAAAAATTACATATACAGGTGGCCGTAAAGAATGGTAGTTCGGGAGGAGCTGTCCGCATGCAAAGCAGCTGGGAAGCCTCCAATTCGGCATAACACACAAGCTTGGATACGACGTACATGGAGGATGCAGTCCGAGCTGTAGCAAGCTAGCTTGTCGAATGCATACGATAACGAAGGGGTCCCGAGTTGTTGTTTGATGACTCGAGAAAACCTTCTTTCTCCCGGTCGGTCTGGCTGTAGCTAGCGGCTCTCTTTTTCTTAATCAGCTTAAGGTAAGGCACAGTTGCTCGGTCCAAGAAAATTGGTTTTCTTTTGGTGGAGGAGTTGATGGAGCTATCGGTTTGTACTCTTTCTGCTGCTGGTTTGATTCCCTCGAGTAGCAGGACCAGCTCTTGGGATCACGCTCAATTCCACCTATGATCTGATCTTTAATTTGGCATGCAAACACTATATTTCGACACGAGGACTTGAGACGAACTCAGCACTCACGTGCTACATCAACTCGGAAACTTTCATGAATCAGCAAAGATCCTCATCAGACGATCGAGAGCATCGAATTCCTCGAGGTTATCCACCCTGTGTCGGTGGCTGTTTTGGCCACCACGTGTCACGCCAGATGGGACCCCTCCTATTTCCCCACGTCGTCGGATGCTGTGCTGCAACAACTTTCGTGTACTGCTTCAGCTCGCACGTGCCACGTGCGCCTTTAACCATAGTCATCTATATCTACCAGGGGTCGGCGTCCGTTAGCCCGCGTGGCACACCAAGCGCGTGCACTTCCAACTGATAAACCGCAAAAGTATTTTCCTCTATTTTATTTTTATTTTCCTCGCCTCATCGGCTGCGTCTCGTTCCTTCCTTTCACAAATAAAAAGAATATTATATATAATGTATATTTTCTTCTTCTTCTTCTTCCTCTATTTTTCGAATTTATTTTATTTTAAATATCCGCTAGGGAATCGAACCCCTTCTTCGACCAATGAACACTCGATAGCCGCGCCATATACATGCTCTCCCACGCGCCGCCCCCGGCTGCATCCCACCTCGCCAACACAAAGAGAGGAGAGATCGGCTCGGAGCTCGAGGGAGGTCCCGAAGCCATTCTAGGGCTTTCTCGAGACATTTCTTGCGGCGGGATTCTATCTTCTGCGCCGTCGATGAGTTCTTCGGTCGCTTCTTTGACTTCTTGGTCGCCGACCCCGATGACGCTTGCTGCCCCTCCTCGGACTTCTGGCTCGTTCGCTGGAGCGCGTAGGGTTCCAACGACTCGTGGGGCTTCTGGTGCTTCGAGTTTAGGTGGCGGCATTTCGTTAAATTGTTTGATTCGGTGGATGCTGGGGCGGCGCCCGCGCTGGGTCTGCGGTTCGAAGGCTCGGGCGGTGGTGGAGCCCGTTGGGAGGGGTTGGAGGAGCGTGACGAGGAGAGCGGTTCTTGCCTCGGATATGGGGGCGGAGGTGGAGGTCGGGCATTCCAGGTGTTTTCTTAGGGTGCGGAATGAAGAAGGTGCGGTCCTGTTACTAAATTTTTGTTCGAATTCTATTGCGTTTGAGAAGCTTTGAAAATTTTGGTGGTATTTTGGAATGCTATAATTTTGAAATGTGTGTTGTTTATGCGAAGACAATTGTTACTCTGTGTGCTATTTCAAATGCTGAAATTACATCCGGCCCTTGAATTGGTTTGCACAAGTTGGCATGTTGCGTCATCCATACTATGCTTTCATGATGGTTGGTCTGCATGACAGCATAAACTTCCAAA